GGAAAACTTACGCATGGCCTTGGGTGTCTCATGGTTCATAAAATGGATGTATATCATGCATCGCTAAATCACAATAAGATTCCATGGGGGCAGTGTATGGTAAACAACAAACTCATGAAGGATAGGGATAGTATACCGAATAATATGCAGCATTGATGCATCTTGGTCAAACAAGTATTAAGCAATGTGTGGTCCTGTTTAGAGACTGTCACAACATTGGCATTCCAAAAATGGAAAGCGTAATCATATTGCACCTTATTAAGTAAACGTTGAGTGCTCGTATGAAATCTTGCATCCGTGGCCATTCACGGTGTAAACAGAGACATATTCTCGAAAGACGGTCGAATGAACGCTACTGTTGCACCTTAACAATAACAAAGCCAGAAAAATATTTTGTTTGCTTGATAAAATAAGTACGGAACATTTTTTTCTGAAGGTGCAAATGGGAATTATTTATGCAACGGCTGGCAAACAACGATTAAGCAATGAAAAAACTGAATTCCTTATCATGACAACAATGCCTCACTGAAGGTGAGGTTCTCAATGTTATCTGAAAAAATACATCATATATATACTGATAATAAAATATATAACACAAACAAAAAAGTGTCCAAAATGTCAGCATCACCCTTATTGTCATCATCCTTTTCATTTTGTTTAATAATGGACAATAACAACACAGGTCACTGTGTGATCTCTCTCTGACACAAATGTTATAGACGTGTGAACTTTGAATCAGTCAAGTATGTGAATCCCACTGGGAGTAAATTAAACCTCCATGAGACAAAGCATTAATGCATGAAACATCATACAAAGGTATACCTAAGGCATCAATAATATTAAACGGTTATATTTGATTTTGGGTTTTCCTGGATTTTCATTAACTCAGTACATTGACCTTTTTTCGCACAATACATAGCCATCCGTGCCAATTGGAGGTGCAGCGTTGAGTCTATGGGCAGTGTTAGTCTATGGGTAGTGTTAGTCGATGGGCAGTATGTATGTAGAAGTTATTTCTCACCCTACGTAGCCAACCGTGCTAATCGGAGGTGCAGCGTTGAGTCTATGGGAAGTGTTAGTCTATGGGTAGTGTTAGTCGATGGGCAGTATGTATGTTGAACTTCTTTCGCACCGTACGTAACCAGCCGTGCTAATCGGAGGTACGGGGGAAGGATGACAAATCGTATTTGCTCCGTTATAATTTGTGCGAGTTGGTAAACTGTCCATTTTCAAAAGTGGATTATTTGTCCTTAACAGCCCACTGCTCTCAGTGCATCGTAATGTATGCATTGATTTGATAGTTCTGTCCTGATTAGAGCTGCCTGCGTTTGGATGGAATGCGTTACATGCAGCATATTTCTGGTTTCATTCACGTCACCATTAATTGCATTTATTCAAAATACATACTCGACGTATAAAGGAAATGTAACATTTTTATCCAGTTTGTGAGTAGGATACTTCTTTGGAGGGATACATTTGCTTCCATCTTACTGATTTACAAAACATGTGATTGTATAAACAGCAATTCACACAACGTGATTGCTAATCTGATTATAGTGCACTCTAAAATATTGTTTCGACAAATATGAATGAAATGCAGTTATTTTTAACGTTGCGTCATTTGTTCATGGCATGAAGGCAAAGTATGCCCACGCGCCAGATATGTTTGTGTGCTGAGTGGACAAATTAAGTCACATGGCTTCCATGGCATTGCCAAGGTCAACAAAGCCATTCAAACATAAACGGTGGCTAAATCTTTTGTCACGGAGATTTATGTAAAGTACACAAATCTCTGCGTGTGTTTTTCAGCGTAGCAGTATTTTCTTCACCAAATGTGCCTTTTTTTGTGTGTGCCCACTTTGAAAGACTCCTTTAGTCTGAGCCATCGAAGCAAAACAGGGAAGGAGGGAAGCCTCGAGTCTTGAGCCTGTCCTAGTTCGCTGCAGGGGAGGTGGCGTCACGCTGAGGGGTGGCGAGGGTGGTGTGACATTTCACGGCAACGCCTTGTGTTATTTAAATTTCACGCTCTTGGCCTATTAACCTCCAGTGAACGTTCATCTGGTGCAGCACTGCACGATGTGGCCTAAGGCGGTGAGGGGCCGGCACTGTCACGCTTTCTAGTAAAGGATTCGGGTGAGATTTTCTCAGGATAACCGTGCATAGCATACGTCAAACGTGCTGTGTGGTCTAACAATGATCATTTCTAATTCACAGGTGCAATGCTTCTCCAGTGCCACACCTGACAACTCTAAATAAAGGACCAGACAGCATTTACTCTCCCATAATGCATCGTGGAGAAGCATTTAGCATCTTCCAATGTGTTGCTTTGATAGCCCTCAGGAAATAATCGTACGCGAAAAACAATGGCAAGGTCACACATATCAGACACTCAACGCATTTTTATAATGGGCAACACATTTGTATGAATCTTTAAAGTCATTATGCTCCAGTGCAAACCTAATCAGAGGCATGGATAGGGAATCACACATCATCATTTGAGATACCCACCTTACTAAGATACGAGGTGGCCAAGTGGTATATTGTAACCTAATCATTGAAGATTTTTAGTGTCGCATAAAACTACTTCAGTGTGATGTTCCCTTAGTTGTGTGTCTAAATCAGCGTAAAGCGTTGATAGTTTTCACTTTAACAACAAACCCATGGAGTAGTATCTCCTCTTCTCTGGGAACGCAAGTTCCCTCCCAAAATCCAATAACATTCAGCAGGGAATTAATGAAACGTAAAGTATTGACCCAGTGAGGTATTCCTAGTTAAATACTGCATATGACCTATTGTTGATATTACATTGTTTTAATAGAAAATTTACTTTTTACGTTACGCTGATTATTTGAGGGATTCTATTTTGATAAATACCTAGTTAATTTCATGAGCATTTTGTGATATAATTCAGTGTAAATTTGCCCCTGTCTACTCTAAAGATAATAAGGGCCTAATAAGAGTAAGATTTCTAGTTAAAATTCCTTTCCTGCACAAGCATACCACTCCACCCCACTTACCCCACCAAACTTTTCTCTAATACAGTGTATAAGCTGAACATTTCACAGCCCTGCCATGCGAACTGAGCATATGAACAAAACTCACGTGATAAAATAATAACCATTAATCTATAATTTTGACAAGAACACTGTTCATAAATCTTGTATTCTTTCTGCATGTTTGGCAGGGACAAATCATTAGAATATAATGGCAAGTAAGTGCTGAAAGTCTGAGTATTCAAAGTGAAGGTGTTAAACACACAAACCAGAGCTGCTCACCTGTTTAGTATCACAATGTCTCATATTTGCCAAAGCTGTACAAAACCACATGCTATTTGTTTTATGGAACAGACCTCACTTAACGTTAAGACTAGTTTTTGTATTGCCAAAATTAGTCCCTGCTCAAGCAATGGGGCAATATTTATATTTGCTTGAAGTCCTAAGCCAGTGCTAAAAGCTACATATTTCTATGACTGGGCCAATATAACTTCCAATAAAGTGGTACCTATTTTATTTACCCTAGAGGGATGATGGATTGGGTTCATCCCCAACTGAGATTTCAGTTTACAACCTTATAATTTTGAGCCAAGTGTTCCAAGCACAACACCACGCATCCATATTGTAACTACAGTCCTGTATAGTACTGAGCACCATCTAATGGACGTTGAAGCATTTGATTAGAAATTACAGTGCCCACATTGTTTAGTTTCAGCAAGTTACCTGATAGCAATCTACTCTCGGCACGCATTTTTTATTTCATACTTAATTGAAATTCAGTCTTAATATGAAGCCTGTATTCTTTACGACAGTCATGTCACTCATATGTTATAGCAAATTAAAAAGATAACATATACCGCAATTTGAATTACAAATACAATCATGCATATCCAAAGAAGTGTAGCCATTAATTTGAAGCGTAATTATTCCTTACATTAATTGGAATATTTAATTTCCAGATTATTTTTCCACTGATACAGTTAAATATAGCATTGCTGAAAGGTGAAGCAATGGTATTTGATTACGGTGGGGCATAATGCAAATCCTTTCACTATTGAGAAAAATGTAGTTTTGGGAATTCAAATGAGTTACGCTGGGGAGCCCAGATTGAAAGCATTACACTGTGGCTCTCTGTGACTCGCCACAACAAACTGGCTGTTTTAAAGTAATTGCATGATGACGCTCTGAGCGTCTTGAGCTGGGTGTGGTAACTGGGGCGAGCGGTTGGATGGATGGTGGGGTTGTGTTGTGTGAGCTCTGGGGAAAGGGACCGAACATGGGGGAGGGGGGCGATAGGGGGCATGGGGTGATTCGTATTCATTACAATTTGCAAGCACAGTGTGTGTGTTCAACCACATACATTGAACACATTGTCACTATCTCTAAAAGCATGAAGTACAAGGCATCGCGTCTCCATGGTGTCTTCAAGCACTGAACATTGGGCACCATGTCTGTTAAGTGCCCTTCCCTGAACTAACAGTGGAAACTCCACAATTTCATGGTTGGTGCCAGTCTCTCCATAGAACAATGGCCATTGAATTCCCACAATTACGCAAGTAGCTGTCCAGTCGTAATTTAATTGAAAGAATCTGTAAAAAAAACAACATGTACATTAATCATGTTTTTACTGTTTCAATCACATTGCAAATTATTTCCTGAAATTACTAGATGCAAACTAATCACCAAATTATCTTACAGTAATTATCGAGTGGGGGTTTGGGCATTAGCGGTTCAGATGTGTTTTATAACTGTGTAGACCGTATCTGCTGTCAGCAAGAAATGCAGGCTAATTAAAAATGTGGAAAAATAACAAGCTTCACATGCTCAGGAACAAATTTGTAGTTTTAAGACGGTTTGCCAAACTAAAATGTTAAGTGATTATGTTCTGCAATGTCGCACTTCATTGTATATCCAACTTCATCAGAGCAGATAACAAGATTTCAAAACATCTACAAGGACAAATCATAATTGAACACTATAATGAATAATATGCTCGTTATCAAAATGTGGATGGACATGAAAGCACAAGTATTTTTAAACGGAAAAAACTGCGGTCTAAGTGTTTCACGTGGCTAGCTCGATGACACACATGGAAGTACACTGGGGAAACATTTCTACGATTTTTTTCATTGTCCACACAGATACCACCGGTCAGCTGGCCTAGCAATGCGATGTCCACTGTAGAGGAATTAGAGTAGTTTTAATGAAAAAAAAACATGACGATATTTTACAAGCTGTTACAGAACATAAACTGTAGGAATAAAAAAAACATTTAAGTTCACGTCATCTGTTCACATTGAGAACAATTAATGAATAGTTCAACGCCACCAAGACCGCCATAGTTAAATACTGTAACTGTTTGCAGCCTTGTAGCAGGCAGTGATGCAACACCATCTATTTGTACGCTTCTCGAAGCATTTTGAATAAATTTTTCTCAATATTAATCAGTTTTATCCAAATTTTCATAAACAATCTATTCTTTAAAACACATCCAAAATGTCGTGCAATTTGTGATTATAAAGATCCTGAAACAAATAATTGGTCAAATGTACAAAATAGAACTCTTATATATAAAACAAAACTAAGCTGTTTAACACGTAGGCTTTCACGACCAATATTATTCATAACTAAACGTTTTTGGGTTAGATCGCGTTATTTATAAATGTGTCGTAACCCTCCACCACCCGACACGGCCAATCAGTAATAAAGTGTCACGTTGACAAAAGACAAATAGTTCACTACTTTAGCCCACCGGTGTGTTGAAGAGTGAATCCACAACATTTACAATTTTTGAGTACGACATTTCTCTGGTAATTACATCCAGCTGGATTTTTTAGTACGACGTTTCGCTGGTAATTATGTTGTGGATTCACTCTTCAACACACCGGTGGGCTAAAGTAGTGAACTATTTGTCTTTTGTCAACGTGACACTTTTTTACTGATTGGCCGTGTCGGGTGGTGGAGGGTTACGACACATTTATAAATAACGCGATCTAACCCAAACACGTTTATTAGAAAACTAAGCTGTGTCTGAGGCAGTAGTTACATGGGGGAAACTAAGCGACATGTCTCGGACCGTGTTCGTGAACATGAGGCAGATCTGAAACACGGTAAAACCAATACCTCGGCCATGGCTGATCATTGTTTTAATGCAGTGGGCTCACACGAAATTAATTTCTCTAAGACGAAGGTACTTTGCAAACCCACTGGCTATAAACAAAGTTTCGTTCATGAAGCCATCGATATATACAGACACAGACACAATTTCAACCGAAAAGATGGGTACAAACTTAGAAATCATTGGAAGGACGTTATCAAGCAGTTTAAATCATAACTGGCTGTGATGTTCCCATCCTACCACCTTCCGAAGTATATAAAATGGCTATTATTCCCCACAAACTGCCTTTGTGACCAGGACAGTGATATTTTGGAATTTACCTATTTCAATGAGAAAACAGGCAAATTTGTATATTTTCGTTCACATAAAGTCGTAAAAAAACATCATGAATCTATAAATTAACATGTATTTATACTAAAGTAATACAAAAATGACTACAAAAGATTTAGAAGTTAGTAGTTTTGCGAGATTTACGATTTTCCAAATGTAGTCTCCCATCATGTTCTCGTTATACTGTCCTTGGTAGCGGCATTCAAAGTCCAATATATCCTGGTGGAAGCGCTCGCCTTGCTTCTCCAAGTATGCTCCCATGTTTTCCTTGAATTTATCAAGATGAGCATCAAGGATATGGACTTTGAGGGACATCCTACAGCCCATTGTGCCGTAGTTCTTCACCAGTCTCAACCAGCTCCACGTAGTTTTCGATCTTGTGATTGCCCAGGAAGCCACGAACCACTGTGACAAAGCTGTTCCTAGCTGCTTTCTCCTTACTTGGGGAATTGAGCATTTTGGGGAATTCATTGCACTCCAGGATCTTCTTTATATGTGGTCCGACGAAGACACCGGCTTTGACCTTTGCCTCAGACAGCTTAAGGAAGAAGTCTTGAAGATACTTGAAAGCTGCCATCTCCTTATCTACAGCTCTGACAAATTGTTTCATAAGGCCCAATTTGATGTGCAGTGGTGGCATCAGCACCTTCCGGGGGTCCACCAGTGGCTCCCACTTGACGTTGTTCCTCCCCACAGAGTACTCGGTCCGCTGTGGCCAGTCCCGCCTGTGGTAGTACGCCTTGGAGACCCATCAGGAATGCCACCATTTTGAAGTCTCCGATGACCTTCCAGCTGTACTCATCATACTTCAAGGCGTCCAGCAAGGTCTTGACCCTGTTGTAATTTTCTTTGAGGTGCACCGAGTGAGCCAGGGGAAGAGACAGGTACTTGTTACCATTATGGAGCAGCACTGCTTTGAGACTCCTAGACGAGTTGTCAATGAAGAGGTGCCACTCATTCTGGTTACAGGCAATTCCGATTACCTCGAACAGACTGGTCACATTGTGGCAGAAGCAGAGCCCATCTTGACGGGTGAAGAAGCTGAAAAAGGTTGGTGACGCTTCCTCTGATCTGCGACTTGCACACTTTCTTCCAACAAGTTCCACTGCTTGAGCCAAGACGTCAAAAGCTCGGCATTGGACTTGGTGAGACCAAGATCTCTGATCAAGTCGGTTGAGGTATTTTTGGTTGCGGTAATATGGGTTTCTCTCCTCAGCTCCACCTCTGAAATTTTCATCTGGATCTACAACATCTTCCTCGCTCTCTGACTTGCTGCTCTCTTCTAAAAACGGCTGCTCTCTCTCCAGAGGAGTGGGTACGGGGAGCTCATGGCAGTGTGGCACCGGGGCGATGGATAAAGGAAGGTCTGGATATGTGATAGCAGGTGCATTCTTGCTAGTCCAACGTTTGGAAGGGTCCACCATGCAAAAGTAGCAGTTGCTTGAGTGGTCAGTGGGTTCTCGCCAAATTCTTGGGATAGCGAACTTCATGGCTCTCTTTTCCCCTCTGTACCATCCTACAAAAATACATTTATTTCACCCATGACTCATGTGTAAGAGATTCTCGCAACATTTTTTAAATATGATATATTTTTTCAATAACATTGAAAATTGAAAAACATTTTAAAATTAAAAACTTTTACAATTTTAAATGTTTTAACTAATTTGAAAACATACAATTCTGAGCAACAATTGTCCATATTAGCTTCCAGCGTTTTTTTTGCATTGCTCGCAGGTGAAATGAGGTGCCCAGGGTTTGTCTTAGCAGATGCTTCCACAGATGTACTTTTTCGCTCTTGTCTTGATAAATTGGCCACACACATAGAAAAATGTGTCTGCCGGATGCTTGCAGCCTCTTGATGCCATCTCAGAAAAATGCAGATATGTATCCACTTAGGCAGCTGGAACTAAACTGAACTGGTGGACTTAAGGCCCCTGTATTAATACTATTATTTATATTACTGGAAACTTCGAGAATGTTCCAGAAGTCATTCCAAGTTTACTCAGCGCTCAATCTATCTGGAATGTTCTGGAAAATAGGCACATTTAAAAATATCACTGTCCTGGTCACAAAAGCAAAGTTTGTGAGGGATTATTAGCCATTTTATGTACTTTTGAGGCATAAGCAATTAGGAAATATTGCCCAGAAACTAAAAAATAATAAATAAAAATTCTTACACAGTGTAATCCAGTCACGAGGAGGTATGGTTGGAGATTCTGACAGAGACGGATCCATGATATGCACAATATTTCCAAATTATGTCGGCTAAGTTTTTGAAGAAAGCATTACAGAATATTTTTCTGACTAATCTGTGTAAATATTGAGTCTTCTCCCCTTATTGTTCGTGTGAGTCACCTCCAGGCTGTCAACGCCTGTAAAACATACAGAATCGCCTCATTTTTCTTTGTTGGAACCGACTGAAAAAAGTGTCTTCACTCTTTTCACACTCTAATAACTACAATAATACTCTTTTATAAGTTTAGGTTTGGCAGTTCTGAGACACTATTTTAGGAAGCAACAACGTTTATTCTGCACTATATATCTTATACACTGTTCACACACGGGATAACTAATTACGAATCAGAGCAGCCAACATGCTGTCTCACCCATGACGCTGGAGACGGAGATGTAGCACCTCGGGTTCCATTCCACCTGTGGACAGATAATGTAACCCTGGATTTTTTAAGTGAGGGGGTATAAAAAGGGGAGCCTGAAACCGTTCAGGAAAACACTTGTCTTCAACCTCTGGGCTGCCAAGACCCACTCCCTGCCATCCTGCCTTCTCGAGCTACTCATAGCCTCCATGTGATGCCAGCGAATGCTGCTCCGAGGCAGTGATAGGTAAAGTTCTCTTTCGTCTTCCTCCCTCCAACTCTCACAGTGTCCGTGCGACGCCGTGAGTACAGCCGCTAGGTATATGATAGGGCGTGTGAGTATTTGGGGACTTGGGTAGCAGTAGGCTAGGCTCTGCTCACAGAACATTCCCTCCGGGCAGTGCGGGGTTTGCGCCGCAAATAAAAGTTAGCACAGAGCATCGGTGTGGTGTCTGTGATTTATGTGTGGAGTGGCTGCGTGGGGAAACGCGCTGCGAGGATAAATGTGAAGCCGCAGCACGAGCGCGCACTGCGGTAATTGCTCACTGGTGTGGGCGCAAGTGTGCCGCTGCGTGCTGTGTTAGCGTTAGCTGTGGTGTGCGCACGCGTTAGGAGATAATCGACCACAGGTGAGAGAGCGTTCGCGCCCCTGTGTTAACGATAGCGACGGGAGTACACGGACGCTCGTTGAGGTAATCGCTCTTCGGTGTGGGCGCTAGCGTGCCGCTGTCCGCTGCGGTAGCGTTGGCTGTGGTGTGCGTGGGTGCGTGGGAGTTAACTCCGTGCGGCCAACAGCGATGTCCCTGAGAGAGGGCGCTAGCGCGGGTGGCCAGATCACTCGGTCGGCGGGGGCCCGACGGGATCCAACCGACGCGTGGAGGAGGGAGCGGAAGGGGCGGACGTCACGCCCCACCTGCCTATGACGTCGGCTCCCACATCATCTTTGCGTGGCTTTACACAGCCACCATTTTTGTGCATGGATGATAATTCCATCAACAGCTTAACCCACCTCAATCATTACGCTTGATTTACAATCGACTGTAATGCAACTTAAATCCGTAGCAATGTTTGATACAGTATTCATGTACTGCTCCGATAAGAATGATACATGATTTACAGCATTCATCACAAACGAAGCACAGCTACGGCCAGTCTGTCTTAATTGGCATTGCAGTATTTCACAAATGTGTTCTTTAAACACATGATGCACACTATTTAATTTGGATAATGCAATCTGTAATTTGACTCGCTAAAATAACGGCGCGTGAATACTTTCCAAATTTCAAAGGCTACGCTTGTGTCCTCGTAAAAGCAGTTATTCTCCTATTTCATTGCAGCATAAGCCACCGTTATTTGTTGCAGTGGGCTTTGTTGGCAAACATAAGAGGGGCTTTGTGTTGAACCTTTAGTTTGGTGGAAAATTATGTAACAGCCTTTGATATGCATGAGGTGACCGTCAACAATCTGACTCTGCCAAGGACGTACGGGAGGGCAGTGATCATTGGCACTGCCAGGAATATGCTTGGTTTCTCTAAGAGAAGGCACGGATTTGCATTGTCAAACATGCAGTCACAGAAAGTACAGCCAATTGGTGTGAATATGCCTCTATATTGTCAATATCACTGGTCATTATAACAAATCGCGCTATTCATACAAAAAAGCCTCGTAAGGAGAGAGGTTGATTTTCAAGAGGGTTCAGCTTGAAAAGTTTAACTAACTCCTTTATGAGTATCTTATTGCGCTTCCGTAATACACATTCAGCAGTAGATTGACAAAAGGGCTGAACCATGCACAATACTCAGTTGTGCTATAAAAAACGAGCAAATTATTTGCTTATGATTACGTAAGTTTTTTCTATCTGATATAGAATTTAAATGGAGAATGCTGATTTTAATTAATGTAATACACATCAAATGTAAGTATATTTAAAGTACCCCCGTGGCCCTGAGCCAATCGTGGACATTTTAAATGAGCATGAAATGGGCAAATACCTCCATGTGACAACCACTGCAGACCTCCACCAAAGTGGTACTCAGATTATCCCAGGAGGGATGTTCATCTCTCGTCAACCCTTCGTTCTGTCCTGTTCAGAAAAAAGGGAGATCTTGCTTTGTTTTGGCTTAACTTTTCTTATGGTTTAAACCAAATGGAAAGTAACACCAAAGTTCTCGTTAAGTGAAAAGATGGAGACGTCATAGTTTGATTTAACTCTCCTTTTTAAATTTCACGAATGCATTGTTCTTCTTGTTGATTTGGAGGCGTGCATTATATTTTATCATTCACATTCAAAATCAGTCATAATGAAGTATTTTAGGGTTAGATTGCGTACATGTGTATGTTGATCCACGAGTGCCAACGATATTATTTTTGTGTAAACAATGGCATTATATATATGTATAGCCTTTAGTTGTGACAAGTGAATAGATGAAAAGTGTCTCTAGCCATGCCCCAAGTGCTGCATATCGGCCCCAGTGTTACGTTTCACCAACACGAAAGCCAAGGCACTCGCGCAACGGCCCCTAGTGGCCCAATCTGTTATTAATACTGCAGCACTTTTTTGAAACTGATCAAATCAGGCCCAATGTAGGTCACAATTGGATTTGCAGTGAATTTGCATCACAGGAATGAAACTGAGGTGTAATTTATAGTCATGGCAGTGGAGCAAAAACCACACACCAATGCATCACCTAACCGTGTCGACTTTAAGGCACAGCAGCAGGCCGTCAATTTCACGGTATATCTGCCATTTGTATGTGTCAGAAATTATGCTACGTAACTTTGATTTCGTTTTCGCATTATCCAATAAAACAAATCCAGCTAACCATGCAATCAATTTACAGTGTTGTTGAATGCTGCATTTTAAATACAGTATACTTCAACAATATGACACCACAGAGAAATGTATAGTTTTTAGTCCGAGCAGGGTGAAACCAATCTCCAGTTGTCTTTTTGTTTCATTTCTGCCTTTTCGGGTGGACATATTTTCAAACTATTTGAATTGGTAGTCAAAACCACAATATGGTCACATATTCATCTCTTGAGTTGGTGGTCTGAATCAAGCTGAGAGCATCTTACATACAATGTGTCGATCACATGACATGCATGCAAAGCATGATGGAAGTTGTGCCATCCTCCTGTTTGTGAGCACACCTTTACATCTTGTAAAATCTGGCAATGGATGACAGAGTGCTTCTAATGAGAGAGACACATATGAAGAGAAGGAAAAAGAAAGGAAAATTACTTTCACATTCAGGCAGTAATAAAAATAGATATGTAATTTTAAACAAAGCCTAAATCAATTAAAAAATAACTCTGTTACCCCTCTAGACATTCATGGGTACTGTTGTAATTAGGATATTACAAACAGGGTCAGTGTGTCCTTTATAACTGTCAAGAAAAAGTGTGTATCATATTCAACCTTCAACCCAAGGTCTGAACACATGTTCTGAGAAGTGCAGGCTAATGTTCTGAATTTAGGTCCCATTCAGAGGCACAGTCAGCTCAAACAATATTATTTTTAGTGTACATTTCAAGACCTCTGACTTGTATTAATTCAAGTACTTAAAAATACTGCCATTTACACACAATCATCACTGTTCACTTTTGGGCTGTACATTTTCCATTTTAAGTTTGTAACTTAATTTCAATTCTGATTTCAACGACGTAAAGCATAAATAATGCCAAATATAATTAATATAATTAATTGCCTATGCATCTCTACTCATGAACCAGCTTTCACCTGGGGAAAAATTCAGAAGGTTTAGGAATGGCTTAGGCAAGCATGAATTAAGCGTAGCCTCTCGTGTGATTTGTTTTATTAAATGCATTTCGGTAGCACTATGCCAATGTAAGCTGACTAGCCTCTGTTTAAAAGGTTCTATAATGATTGTGTTATATGATCGGTGTATGTTACCTGCTATGC